ATATAATGCGACGCCGTAGGTGCGGGACGGCGGAGACCCACATTGTCGCATTCCTAAATGCGAGATCAAGCACGTTATACAAATTATATTCGGTATAGGTATTAGAATAATAATAATAATAATAATAATATTATTATTATTATTATATTTATCGAGTCTGAGCAAAGTGTGAACACACGAAAAACGCATAATATATAATGTACTTAAACTTGCTGTAGTAATGTGTATATAATATTACGCGCGAGATAGATTTACACGACGTGTGGGTGGAATCGCAAGGTTGTGAGGKTGATGTTTCGGATACGTAGCCTAGAAACCAGCCACCTTCCACGATTCGTTTTCGTTATTAGACTGCCGCAGATTAGGGAAGTCCGCAAAAGCTYGGAGAAAATTTTTTTTTTTTGACATACAATTTGCAGAACATTCCAATAATTTCTGTTTATCTTTTGACATGAATTCAGATGCACCTGACTATATCTATTCGTCGAGYAAAAAACATGTGAATATTTAAATATAACATATTTTTAAGGTATAACTACCGGATATGTATATAGTATATTATAATGATATAGTTTTCAGGTGACGTATCTATAATACTGAGCACGCGTGCATGTGTTTTATTTAATTTTTTTTTAATTTAACGTTAATTATAATATACTGTTGCCAATAAAAAATTGTAAATAAAAGTGATGAGTGTTATGCGAAACACAAACATTGTTGAGAGTTAGGTATAAATCGTTATGGTTATGTATTAAATGGAGGGTGGATTGCATGCAAGGGACCAAGTCCCGAAGGGCGTGTGCATCATAATATTTGTCTTTCAGTATCGAAGGAAGCACCCTCGCTATATTATATTATTATAATATTATCGTCTTGATCAATTATTTGCGTTTATTTTGTATTGAAGTCGCATTATAATATCGCGATTTTTCGCTATATCACTATATACAAAACATCACTAGTCTATACAGTGTATATTGTATAATAGTATATGTCCACACCGAATTTGTGATCATATATGCAGTTTACATTCAAGTCTAAAATTAACAAACGAAATTTCGGATTAACAGCTCATGTTATTTTATCATATATTTTTTTATAGGTACCTACATATAATCTTATAACTATATACTCGTACACATAAAATATTATAATATCTACAATCTAACCAAATATACTTTATTAGATGTATTATGAATTTATGAATAATTATGATCATCATCATTTCGATTCGTTATTAATTGTTATAAATCGATTGGTCACAATCATAATTTTATACAGGTAATAGACATACAATATATACGTTAGCATGCAGACTTAAGTACTTTTTTTTTGGGGGGGGGGGTGGTGGTAGATAAATCAATTTAAATATAAAGACGCGGTAGTATACCTCACGACCCACYATAAGCTAATTTTAGGTTTGGTGAGAAGTTTTATTTTTGAGGATTAAGCTCCCCACCCCTCTCCCCTCAATATACGTCTATGTGCTGAGCGTATACCTATACCCTAGAAAAAAATTACGAATACATCACTGAATACATATACATATTTAGCCTCGGGAAATGAGTAGGTAGATAACTAGAACTAGTAAGATGGAACAATCATAGAAACCCCGTGTGATTTTTTTATCTCAAAAGTGACTGAGTAAATGAATTTTTTTCAAACAAATTAATTATTTTATTCACGCCATTAACGAAGATAAGAAAATCATTATAATCCCCGACCCCCGAGCAATATATATTCTGCAACTTTGCTGTAAATTGTAACACACTTGTATAAATTACAGCGAGAATATAGAAATTTAATTATTATACACCCAAGTAAAAAAAACAAACCAAAAAATTCTTTCTTCRACGAGTTAAATGACCTTCGATAAGTCCTAGGATATATTAATATATTTTAACGTAAATATTATCATAGCGAACTACACAGTGTCATAATTTTATWTATACAGGATATTAAGTTTATATTTAARTTATAAAATTATATTATGCATAATGAGATCAAWTTTTTGATAAACGTACTTATAGTCATACAGTCAGGTAATTCGAATATGATTATGAAAATGTATCGCTTCTCGATATCGATGTAGAATATTAATATCRMTCTACATCATGAATCATGATTGTATGAATTTTAACGTTTTTCGATCTGAACAACTCGCCAGTTTTCGCGTTGCGTATAATATTATAAATATATATAGGTTCAGGATATTGGTAGGTATTTATCTGTATGTACACATCACAGAATCACACGGCGGACGATTTTATTATATTTAACGTCAATTATAATTTTTGTATTTGGCGAATAACTGACGTTAAAATACTATAATTTTCTGTCGTCTTTTAACAGCCGACAACCGTCTACTGTTATTATAAAATATTATGGTGTATTTTAGTGCGTATTTATAGATGTGTACCTAAGTCATACCTGCGTTGATCTATTTAGGTTTAATTATTCTATCTATATATATACCTACGTTTTCGCGAGTACCAAGTTGGAAAGTACATATACCTATATATTCTGCAACACTTGATACTTGAACACTATTTCTGTACCTACCCTCATTATATATAGTATTAGGTATATCATGTATACCTATGCGGTGTATTATTATTATCCAGTTTGAAAAAAACTATTTTAAGCGTTTTTTTCGCCTTACCATTTTTAGTATACATAATAATAATAATAATATTGTATCGCTGTCGTTATAAGTAGCCGTTCCCCAGATATCTGACAAATTCGCACTCGACGGCAGTAATTATATACGATCCGGACATGGCGGATCGTTGTTGATTGCATCGGAAAAAAATAAATAAAAAATTCGCTCGATAAATCGCGCATTGGCATAGGTATATTATTAAAGCGTGGCGCAAACACTAAACGATTTAACAACGAACAAAACGACGTTCTCGCAAATAGCCTGCACAGSTGCTGCTGAGAGTGCTGCAGGTATGTGTATTATATATAACACGTCGCGGCCCGCAGGCTTTTCGCTAATAAGAGGAGTAAATTCAATATATACGTATACTCTACGGGTGTATTTTTTATACACTAAATGTAGGTAATATATAGGTACTTTYAGTTTATTCGAGTACGACTTTTTATTAAATAAATGTAAAATCGTGAAAAGGGTACAGGTAAGTATAATAAATCATTATATATTATTGTATATAAACAATTTTTGACTTGCAATTAACATTATGCGTAATCATGATAATATATATCATATGTTTTGTATTATTTTATTAAACGCACTATAATAATAATATAAATTATATGGCCGGTTTACGTCACAATATATATATATATATATGCAATAGACGTATTCGTAATTATATAAGTAAGCGTTAAAAAAGTGTACCGGCGTCAAGGTCGTTGTCGCCGAGTAGGTAAATATTTTCGAAACGAAAAAAAAATTCCTCTCAAGAGGTCAAGATTCGACATAATATTTATGTAGGCACGCTTAATGCGGTCGGCGCGTATCTCGGCTGCACCAGCAATGTCTCCAAAACGGTCGCGGCCAGTTATAAATAATATTATATTATTGTAATAAGATCGGAATTCGCCGACGGCCAATAACGCCGCCGGAACAACGGTTAATAAAATATGCACGCGGACACGTAACACATACTCCGAGTGAGGTCGAGGAGGACGTAGTGATGGCGATAGTGGTTGTGCAGGGTGGAGGAGGAGGAGGAGGAGGAGGAGGAGTAGAATAACGCGATCGGACGTGTCGGTGCAGATGTCACCGATGAGATCGCCGCCGGAAAACCCAGTCGCCGCGGGAGGCGTCGAGTGATCCGCGGTAGTTGTACCTGGTACGTATGTGTATGCATGTGTGTACCATTATAGYGCATCAGTAGCACAACTGTATATACCGCATCGGTACACGGCTATAACAATGTTATAAATTTATACTTCGTTGGTATATACCGCGGAAGACGGCCCGCGGTGCCGATTCGTAATGTAATATCAAAAATGAYGTTCTGGCGTTACAGTATCGCGAGTGTCCGTGACAACTGCAGCAGTGTGCGTATTTATTATGATATATTATACGTGTCATTTCGATCGCTGAGGCGCCAGACCGCGGAATTCCGTCTCTGCATAGACGTAAAACTCTTATACACACATCATGATAAATCTAATTGTTTATATTATAACGCGTTTTTTTTATGAATATTTTTTTTCACCAATAATAATAACATTACGCTAGGCAAAGTCTCACCCCCGCGCCGTCCACTACCGTATCCCGCTCATCAAGGTCTCCGTCTATATTACCTACCATCGCCTCCGGTCGCCACCGACACGATCACTGCCACCACCCATCACCGCCACCGTCACCGGCCGTTCAGCGTCATCGCGATAACGTCCCGTTTTTGTTTTCGTTACTTTTTTTTCTCCCGTTTTCTCGCCCCGCGGCAATCCGGTGGCGGTCCGCGGCGAGCCGTGTACTTATCGCGCGCGCGCGCGCGCGCGCACGGCCACCACCACCGTCGCCGTAGCCGTCGTCGTCGCGCGCGCCAGCCTCGTCTCGGCCAGTGTAACCCGCGACATCCGACCATGCGCAAACGTCCGGACCACAGCTACAGCCGGCACGTCGCGACGACACCGTGAAGAGACGAGATATGCGCGGCACTGCGCTCTTCGCCACCGTCGCCGTCCTCCTAACCCTCTTGGTCAGTATAAATATAGAACGACTTTGATGCTCGCGTCCTAATTACCCTCGTAATTTAAATTAATATAATATTATGCACCGTAATATCTGGACCGGCAGAGATTTTTTTAGAAATTTTATTTTTTAGAGGTATACTTATCGTCAGTTATCGACAAAAAAAAAAAAAAAAAACCGGAGCGCAAACCAAACCTCTTAAGGACACGACTCCGATGATATGAAATTTTTGTAATTTCCTAGTCAATTTTTACATTACCTACCTATAATAATAATATGTACTCACTAACAAAAAAATTACTGAAAATGACATTTTTTATATAATATATAGGTACGTGTATTATATATTATATATTTATTTACTTATATATGCGCCTACGAGATAATTGGAAGCATTTGCGATTTGGAAGACGACGGAAGTTGTGCAGAAACGTTTGCGCGACGACGATAACGGTATTCTCGGCAACTGAAGTCGAGGTTCTGCCGCGAGAGAGACTTTAACAGCGTTAGAAATGTCAAATTATTTTAATAAAATATTACAGAAAAACATCACCAAGTCGGAATCGCCTTGGACCGTTCGATTTTACCGTCTTAACGGAGTTTCCGACTTGACGAGAATCGCATTCATTATATATTTGAATCAAAAAAAATTATCCATATCAGTCACGGGATTTCCGTCTCACAACAGTTCAATGTTACCTGTAATGTTTTTACTACATGTTATTAATTTTCACAAAACTTTCGGTTTTTACATCAACTTTTACGAAAATTCGGTCGAACAGGTGATTTCGATATATTATATCAATCTCTAATTTTCGTACCTATCAATGCTACATATTAATTGAATATTGTTAAAGTTTTCTAATCAGGAAATGCTGTAACCATATTTGGTAACCTCACGCGCTTCTTTCACATCACATATTATAATATTCGACTGCACGACTATACAACTAATAACACACACAATACCATATAATATGATATTATTACAATATAATTTTGTATGTAGGTATCACGCGATATTAAGCTCCTTCGGAATCCGGTTATACGTAGGTGAGTTATATATATATATATCATCGTATTATTGTCTCGCGTTATTTTGTCGTGTAAGACCATAATATAATAAAATAGTATGGTTTAACGTCCCAAACTATATATTATTAACATTTATGATAGTCAAAACAGCCGATCGTATTACCTACATTAAATTGTACATCATAATATTATAAAGCCACATCAAGACCAAGAAATATATTTTTCGGAAATTTAAGCTACTACCGCTCATGACGAAAAAATCGGAAACATTGTCGACGTCAAATTTTTCTTTCGTCTGGACGTGGCTTAATCTATATATTTATTTTTAACGCGTATTATTCGCGCCATTTCACGATATGTATAATATAATCGTCGTTTGAGTATACATGTATTTCATGCTCGAAACAATAAACTATTTCAACGTCCAACTTTTTTTTCGCAACATTTTTAATATAATTTTCATTATAATATTGAAATCGGAAAATCTTATTGCACATTTAATTCGTTGAAGGAATAACTGTTCAAAATTGCAAGTTCGTACGTTTTTTAGTTTTCGAGGAGTAGCGATGTGTGAGTGAGCGGTATTTGTTATTTATATTTCATAGACGTAATGATATTATTATATGAATACATTTTTGTATTATTCGCATTGTTTCGCGTTCTTCATGTATATCATGAACAAAACAACACCTTTTCAATCTTCCGTCTATTTCTGCGTAATATATTTAATATTTAAGTCGTCGCATGATAACAGGTAAATTTGCCAAGTGCTAATAATATAATATATAATAATATAGTCAATAGGAAGAATCGTTTCGTTTATTATATTATGTATAAGTGATGGAGGCGGCACCCAGTTCTCCAAAGGGGGTTTCACAAATTTTGTTTTTTTTGCATTTAATGTGGCTCGAACAATACAATGTATGCTCAGAACGCAGAAGGTCTCGTTGGTGTACACGAATAAGGATATATAATAAACGTAAATCGTAATAACATTATCACAGCTTGTACCTCATTACGCTCGACGACGTTCAAATTCAGTAAGTTTGACTTTAAATATTGTTCTTTCACGACCACAAATTAATAGGTAATCAAAAATTTATACATATATGTTATAAAGTTTAAAAATTAAAACAATAATCAGTTTTAAAAACTAATGGTCCATATTCCATACAAATTCTCAGTAAGTTGTTTTGTTTTTTTAAATAAATAAATACATTTTCAAATAGTTAGGTAAAGTGGTATAATATGGCACAATATACATACTACTAACTATTACTTATAAAATAAAAACATAACATTTTTGTAAAATTAATACGTTTGTATCGTTTAACTTTTACTTTTTGCAATAATGAAGTTTAATTTGCTTTCAATTTTATAGTTTGTAGCAAAATATTTTTCTGAAAATTCGAAAAATATTTTCTTATTTAAGCGTATATTAGATGTACATTTTGAGTTTTGGCTTATTAAAACTCAGTCCTTACTTCCTTAGCTACCAATAAATAACGGTTTTATTATGAAAATTATATGCATAAACTTGGTGCCAAAATACTGATTGTAAAATCAATTTACAGATTATACTTTACCGACTAAATATAATATAATATATAACTATATAAGCAACTTTTCAAGTAGGTTGAACACTACTATTTTTATGGGCTATCTCTACCATTTCGAGTTTTATAAAACAATTAAATGCTTATATAAATATAAATGTATTAAAGTTTAATATTTAATATACAATCCAATATTCTTAAACATTATTTTTTTTCGTAAAGCTAAAAAATATTATATTTTTCGAATAATGTCACGTGTGTTGCGAGTTCTTTTCCAATATGATATCTTATAATACCTATAAAATATCAGTTATAGTACCTACATAAAATCTTCTAAAACTTATTTTAAATGTTAAACTTTTTAAAAACATGAACTTGATATAAATCCTAAAGTCTAAAAACTGTAATTATAAAATACGTCAGACGATTGTTAAACAATATGTGTGCACTTGATTGTATTATATTTTTATATTACACGAAATACACGCTGTCATGTCATAACGAGCGAATATTATGATTTTAGTTGTGAACACATCGAATATAAGACAATAATTCAGTGTGCAGTGTATATTGTATTAAAATATGTTAAAACTGTTAAAAGTATACAATACTTATTATAATAATATAAACACGCATTATAGTATAGTTATATGATATTACCTATGTTATATCTGCGACTCGTATTCGTTAAACATTTTTAATTTATAAAAGTTAAAAAACGAATGTATTTCGATTCATTGATCGTCAGTGTATATTAAATAATAAATACTAATAGTTGATATACAAATAATATTATAATATAGGTATGTGATACGCACGTTTATAACAATAACAATATTATTATTTATTATTATTAGGTAATAGGTATTTATTATAGCAGTGTATTCAATAAATTAACATTGGCCGCAGACGCTTGCGAAGATAGGCGAGTATATTGCGATCGAAACGTATAAAACCATGAGGGTTCGAAGTCAGCGTGTATAGGTATGATAATAGGCACGATGTTTTTTATTATTATAAAACAGTATTTTTCGTCGAGATTACGCTACACCCGCATGTGTTTCCATCTTACAAATCTACCACATACCAAAAACTGTTTTACGTGCTAAAAAACCGAGAAGGCATATTATATATAACTACGAAACGATAATATTTTCACTACATAAAAAGGAGAACTTTGGCTGTGATATCGTTTTACTTTTTCGACATAAAAAAAAAAAAGAGTTATTCAATTTTAAAAAACACAAAACGTTATGAATTTTGAAACAATAAGAATTTTTTTCACATAAAGTGATATTAAAAAAAKAAAACGATATTTCATTCAWAATGTTCTCGACTACATTATTGTATATAAATTTGGAATATTAACTATCATTACAGTACGAGCGGTTCTTAGCTAGACATTTTTTTTTATGTTGTACATTTGTAAGATGTCTATCTTATATCTCGCATAAGACATKCGGGGGTGTAGCGTTCTCTTAATTGTTGGAAATTGCGCAATTGCGCTCGTCAATGCATTAGTTCATATAAAGGGTAGGTATTATGACTAATTATTGTGTAGTTTACATCGCATTTAGAAAATGTGATTTTATTTTTGTCTTAAAAAAAATTATATACATATATGATTTTTCCAATCACCCATGATTAAATTTTCAATCTGTCGTTTGTTATCATTATTATCATCTTATTAATTTAAAATAGGTAGGTAAGTTGTAGCTATTCATAGAATTGGTATATTATATAGATTTTTATAACTTTTAATCATTATCATTCAAAATGTACCTAASTAGGACTAGGAATCTTTACACCCTGTGTGTGGTGGAGGGGAGGGGTGATACACCCAACGGAGATTTTTGATTCAAWAATATGTGCAAATTTAAATTAATTCACAGCATGCAGCCCGCAAGTTATTTTTGAAAATTACTTATATTTGGTCTTTTCCAATATATCCTAGTGATGGAGACCGCTGATATACGTTTATGTTAAAATCGTTATTATATATATAACTTATTGATATTTAAACAATTCTGATAGTCACCGAYGGATAAATACCTCTGTCGGTCGTGTTAATATTTTAAAACATTTCACTCGAGTCTTTACGATGTAATATTGAAAACATTTCGATTTCTTGCTAACGTGAATGTCATAATAAAAATAGCTACTTAAAGCAACAGTTTCAGGCGCTTCCGGCTGAGATCACGCGTAATTAAAAATTTGTCCTGCGAAGTGACGTCCGCGAAGAACTCATAGTCGTTTAGTTAACGCCGTTGGGGTACATTGTGCGGTGCTTGACCGCGAAATATTCTAAATATTCCGATAAGTGCGTTGGTTTGWGTGTGAATGTGTGAGCGTGTGCACACGAAAAAGGGCATTCGGCTAATAGCGTTCAAGGCCGTCAACACGTGCAATGTGTAATGTTATTATACAGTGCGAGAACATAATATTATATATAGACGACGGAGTCCTAGACATTGCGACAGTATTATATGTACAACAATCATAAGCGCATTTCGAGCTGTAAACTACAAACGTTTTTTAATTATGGCCCTCGGATCGAGATATATATTTAATATTTATTAACGTATAGTATAGACAGGTGCGGCACGTGCACATTTGAGTCTGCGCATATCATTATATATTACATATGCACCTCTGTTGCCATTAGATGAGTGTGTGTGTGTACTATATACATATACAATACAACTTTATATATATATATATATATATTACAATACTCTGCTATTTATTCGCACTACTGTCTGCTATGGCTATTAAAACTAATAAGTCCAAATCGTTGGACGTACCTACCTATGTATTATTATTATTATTATTTATTACTTTATTAGGTATTATATAGGTATAGCTCCGGGGCATGCGTCGAGCGCGATCGGCATTCGGCAACCGGTTGTCTATTTTCGAAATAATAATGCCGCGAAACGTACAATGCAGAAGTGTACTCGCCAAGACGCCTATATAATGTGTGTGTGTGTGTGTGTGACCCACGACCTAGTCGAGAACGCATCGACAAGACGTCGATTAACAAATCCAATAATTACATATTAATATTATACTTATATACACCGCGGATTTGCGTAATAATTATGTATCTAATAAATAATATTATCATCACAGGTTTTTTTTTGTTTCGATTAAAAGCGCTAATATGAAATTATAATACGCGTCGGAGAACTACTTACTCTATATARTATAATGGTATAGAGTAGCGTTGCGCTATCCGACGGGTTTTCTTTAATTTTTCGTTCCATCTGTCCGATCCGCTGCGTCTAAAGTGTAATTATTTCTATAGTTTTATACGGGCGCGGGGCATTATAATGGGTCCGTCGGGAAAATCGAAAACGTTTCTCGACTCATCTGCGCAGCCGGACGATGACGAATCGGATTTGGAGCGTACCTACATAAGATTTTCGCAGCCCGTCGGATTTAGGGCAAAGAAAGTGTTGAAATCAGTCCACCGAACGAGGATTGCGATTATATATAAAATAATATATATATATATATGGATACGCGGCTCGTATAAAATCAATCGGTGACGACGCCTGCTTTGTATGTATATAAATCACTGCTATTGGAGTCTCGTCGGACCCATCAAATTAAACATTGAACTGTATTGAAGCGGTTATATATTATATAGTAATGTTAAGTAGGTAACTCTATGATGGTTCATTTACAACGGGACGAATCGAAAACGAAACTTTGTTATTAATAATAAGTACATATCGATATTATTATTGTCTATCTGAAACGGATTCGACGATTTTACCATCATTGAACTAGATCACGCAAGTAAGATCATAGCATAAAATAATCGAATGACCTATAATATATACTTATAATAAATATGTCCCTAGTCGGCTTATTTCCAGAACCTATTTGCGCATACGAGTAAAAACAGCTCGGACGTGGTGATAAAGGTATATCGCACTTTTTGAAAATCTCCGCGGTCATTATGACTCGTACGCATTCGAATATGTTTCATCGCCTTTATTATTACTTACTGGACGAATATTACCCTGCAGGGGTACCATGGTAATTTGTTTAAAAAAACAGAATTAAACAAATGACCTGGTTTAGTTTACCAGTTTTACATCTTGAAAAGTTATTAAAAATAAAACAATTTGCTATATTAAGATCCTTTCCTCGTTAATTTAACGAATTATTTGCCTAAAATAATTAGTTGATACAGCTTGTGTGCGCTATATATAGTGTCGATATAATTATGTACCGTGCACTGTATAATTACTTATTACGTTTACATAAAATACGATTAATATAGGTGTGTGATTACAGGATATACTTTCATATCGGTGTAGATCAGCACCGTTGATATTTTTCAAGGTATACCTACACTCAAATATAATATTTTACTTTGATATTCCAATTTATTTTAATTAYAATATCATTATTATTTACTACACATTAAAGTGATTCAACCCAATTGTTAATGCACACACTGGACTATGCGTTATTATGATGTTCTATAATTAATTAGACGATATACCTACTTAGTGGTCATTACTTTGCTAAGTTTTTCGTAAATCCGTAAACCAACGAGAGCAGATTAYACATAATAATATATAGTATGGGAAACAACACAAAAAACAGTAACTCGTGACGTGTACATAATAAAATATTATAAATATCTCTCTTTTTACATAATTTATGATTGCGAGATTGACGGTGGACTGTTATAATAGTTGATGTAATCGTATGCATATTAGTATAATGAATAAAATCGAAATTGAACAATTTATAGACATTACCTACGCTGTATCGAGTCATCTACAATTTGTTGAGTTGTTTATAATATTTTGATCACATAGTCTTGGTTGACATATTTAGAACCTTAACGTTTCATATTTTAAACATATTTTAGTCCGTGATTTTAAATAACAATTGATCAGTAATAATAGATACAATTATCAATAAACATTCAATCACGGGTAATTGGCTGGTTGAACACTTATTAATTTAGTGGTAATACACGGTAACATGGTGTATATTAAAAGGTAACCACAATATTCAATCAACTAAAACATAACTAAAACATTGAAATTATATCACAACGTGTTAAATCATGGACGACACGATAGAGTCATACTCTAGAGGTGAATTTTCACTATATGCATGTTAACATGTACTAGTTTGACGAACGTTCACGTTCGCCTTGAGTGGATATTTCATATTATTGGTTGATATATTAGKTACTAACGAAATTGTTGAACTAGATCCAATAAACCAGTAACGTGGTTTTAAATAAATTTACTAATTGTATTATATTGCTTTACACAAATTGTAAATTTTCTTTTTTTTTTTTTTGTAAAAAATTACGTCTCAGACATTTGATTGATTGTTCTTTTCGTGTCGCTCCGCAGGTATCGCATTGCGCGGGCCGTCCTTGGCATCAACGGCGGCAGCAACGGCAGAGACCATCAGTGCCACCAACGCGGCCGGCGGCGGYTTCGACGGTCGCTTCGATTTACGTGGAATACGATGATCCATCTGTGGCCGTCAACGGACAACTGCCCTCGTCGGACCAGAGCCTGCAGCAGCAGGAATCGCCCGAAGCGGATTACGGGGATCCGGAGCGGATGTTCGTGGAACCGGAACGGGTGTACGCGGAACCGGAACAGAACTACGAAGTGGATGAGGCTGTGAGCGTGCTAAGCGACGGACGCGTACACGGCGTGCAGCAGCAACCGACGCCAACGACTGCGGTGTCCGGGAGTTATGACGCCAACAGCGTCACCGATAGCGGCATCACCGACATCGCCATCACCGGCTTCACCGCCACTTCGACCACCACCTCGACTACCACGAGCACGACTCAGGCGATGGAAACCCGTAAGAGCGGTTACGTGGTGGACGGAAAACACTACCGGAAGTACAGGGTCGAGGAAGAGACGCCGGACGGGTTCATCGTGGGCGAGTACGGAGTAGTCAGCCACCACGACGGCACCACCAGAGGCGTCCGGTACACGGCCGACAGTAGCATCAACCCGCGGGTCATATACGAAGCACTCGCCAAGTTTTTGGCCCTCAGGCGCCGCCGGTAGACGGCCCGCCGACGGACGATGGCGAACTGCCGCTGAACATACGTCATAATATTATTATAGTATAATAATCGTCGATTATCAATATTATAGTATAGATAAGTTCGCTGTCGTTCGAAACTATCTTTTTTTTTTTTTAAACGAAATTTCTAGTCAGGTTCTATTATGCTTGTCACCGAAGCCGCAGCCATCGACGTCGTCTCCAATCACAGCCGACCTCAAAACGAATAAATAGAAGACCAACAACAAACATCGTACTCAAACATAATATAATAGTAATAATAATAATATATTATAAATATTTGCGCGCGCGTTTTGTCCGAATCGCGTTCAGTGCCATTTTCCGCGAATATATAGTGTGACGGAGCTACATCGTATATATATAAGACACGCTCACTCGGAATATAATATATAATAATATGTTTTTTTACTGTGACTGAATGAAAATTTGGAAAAATGTAAATTTATATAATAATAAATGTTTCGATCGAAATAAACGTGCGTGACATGTACAACAACAACAACAACATATTATTATTATTWTTACCTTTGTATCAATAGGATGTTTATTGTTTCTCACGTCATCGTATAGTACGAGAAATTCATCGAAGGTGTTCGTTTTTTTTACTCATTCTTATAGTCTGCATACTGATAATTTAGAAAGATTGACAAAATGATTTGCTTTAACATCACTCTCTGCTCACAAGCGGTAACACCGTACTCAAAGGGTTGTCGAAAGTTAAACTGCAGCSATATTATGAAGAGAGTGACGCATATACAGCGCGATTGAAAGAAATTTATAGGTAGATACATTATGGTTTTAGTAAATTATTTATAATCTCTGTTTACAGATGTCGTCTGACATTGTATATGGGGCACGAGCAAGTTCAGTTGTTAACGATGGCCGTTTTAGACGTTTTAGTCCGTTTATAATATTATAATATAGATCGTATAGTATAGTATCTACCTGCAAGTTAGGGTTTCTGCGCGAGTTCACTGTAATTCACGGCTTAGCCAACAAAATTACCGTCAAATTACAAAAGTCATAGTCCTTTATTATCTTCACGGCGAGAATGATTCCTTCGTCGATAAATAATAACCATGGCCACTTGTGTGATGCTTTCATATATTTTAGTTTATAGTCATTTTACAAGATATTCAAGATATTCGTTACTAATTATTTTATTATTGGTGATATTTAACATCAACGTTCAAAAAAATTTTTTTGTTCACATGTTTCGGGCGTACAAATTTATACCATCATTATCCTTGATCCTCATAAATTGTAACAAATGAAATGAAAATGAAATTGTAACAAATGAAATCTACTACTTAAATGATGATACGGATACGCGATTATGTATCTGCATCGCATCAATGACAACAGTCAACAGTAGTATTTATAGTTATTCTTATACTGCAAACTGTTTTTTCGAAATATTTAATAAATGTATTATATGTTGGTGTATCTATTGCTCTAATGCTCTATATAATGTGTGCTATGTGCTCCAAAGTCATTGCTGGATTTCACAACGAATCAGGTGAAAATATCTATCAGAAATATGTAWACATATGTTTGTTATTTTGATTTTACCAGACGCGCGGATCGTAGACCTCGGCCTTATAATTTATTGGCAACTACGCACTCGTTATTTATTTTATTTTGCACATGACATTATCGGATTATAAAAAACTACGCACTATATATATAATTGTAAGTGTGTTACAGGTAAATAGGTATACTAAGTCAGTGCCCAACGACTATATTATACCGCAGAACGCGTGAATCTATCGTTGCAGTATTTTTACACCATAATATGACCGTTTAAATGTATAAATGCGGTTTAATTCCAAAAACTGGAAGTGAAAGATTATAACTTA